CTTCGAATTGGATCCGGCTTATTATTTTTTGCAGACTGTTAGAGCAATTTTATAAAAGTAAGCTTGAACTTTTGATTATGTCAAATAGAATTTCTGATATATATTTATTAATATGTAAAGGATCTACAAAGCAAAAGTATGTTTCAGAGTTCATTAAACAAAAAGTGGAATTGCTGCAAAAAATGGATAAAGGCATATCCTTTGTTTATCTAAACTTTAACGTTTGTTTATCTAAACTTTGTTTATCTTTAACGCGGCTGCGCAATGAATTGGAAGTTGATCTGTCAGCACTATCCTTATCTTCAGGGCAGATGTTTTTATTTTATTTGGCTTATAATTCCTTACTAAATGTAGTGTTTCATCTCGATGTACTCTGTCTTTGATATGATTTAAATCAAATTCCTCGTCATTATAATTTGCTTCTGATAACGAAGAAAGTAACAGAAGTTATTGAAAACACAAAAATTTCGATTGACAAATTAGTCGGTAGACACAGCAATTATAGGACTTGAACAGCGGAACTTTGTAACTGAACAAGAATTATGTCTGTTTATAGAATTAAAGAGAATGTATTATCACATAAAAAAACGAGCAACTTAAACAACTTAACATTGAAATAAATGTTTAATAAAGTAAACAAATAAATATTAAGCTTTTTTTTTTTTTTGTAAATTTTGATACCCTTAGATCATAATTGTTCTTTATTTCATAAATTATGGTTTCATATTTTTAATTTTATAATTTCTGCATGCCATCTTACCAGATTTAAACTAATGATCTATAATTCGGAAAAATCGATAATCCGGAATCGCCGAAGTCCCGACGAGTCCGGATTAACGACTTTTGACTGTACTAATTAAAACCAATGTGTATAATTTTGTGTGCAATTTTACCCTTCATTTAATAAACATGTAATTAATATTATAAACCTGTTTTAATATTAATTTACATTTTCTATATTTGTAAAAATATGTTTATGGCTCTTGAATAATTTTAAAATTGTTGTGAGGGATACGTTTGACTCTTCCATCTCGCAAGTTTGCCGATTTCCAAGTTTTTGGTAATGCCTGTTATATAGAGCATTCTTACAAACTAAATGTTTTTCTTCAAAAAAAAAAAAAAAAAAAAAAAAAGTGGGCAAACATTTTTAACTTTTTCCAAAAAATATTCTTAATCACATCTTCAGTTTTTCTTTTTGAAAATGTGGTAAAACTAGATCAAAGCAAAAAGTTGATATGCTGTCTAAAAAAGTTATTATGTGTTGAGTATGCAAATAGAAAGTCTGTTACATAATTTTTTTAATATGTATGTATTTTTATATATTTACTATTCCAAAAGAAGTGCCATTCAGACCGATTTATTCATGAAATAGGGAGGATGGGCATTTATCATGTTTTAGGGATTTCTTCTGTTCTTATTTTTTTCTGTATTTATTTTTGAAGTATTCAAACAGCACAAAATTAAGGAAAAAATTACTTTTTAAGTAATCTAAGCTGAAATATTATCACCATTTGTAATGAACTGTTTCATTACATTGTGCTTAATTATGTGTGTTCAGATATTTATATATTGATAAAAATACAACTATTTTCAAAGTTTAATTTTGCTATCTGTATGCATTTAATTATACATTGTAATAATAATTTCTATTTTGTAAATTTTATTATAAATATTTAATTATTATATTTATTGTAAAATTTCATACATTATTAGAGTTCTAATATTATTATAATTGGTTATAATAATTTTATGATAATAGATTATTATTAACTGTAATGAATAATTCCATATTATTACTCTGTATTTTTTACTTCCCTGTACGAAGTAAAAAGGAAGTATTGTAATTTCGAAAATTTTCAGGCAGCATATTTCAACGAAAATATCAATTTTGAACGCCATCGAATGCAATTTAACGATGTTTTTGCGTGATATCTGTAGGTAAGGACAGAATAAAATACTCTTTTCCTTCAAAAAAATTATAAAACTGCTTTAAAATGAATTCTGAAGAGAATTTTTCGTCGCGTCTGTACGCACGTATCTCACATAACTCAAAAACAAGTAGCCTCAGAACATTTGAATTTTGTATATAGGACTGCTATAACATGTAGATGTGTACCTCGTATTTTTGTTGCAATCGGCCACACCAAACGTATATAAATATATTGATATATATATCCACTCTGTTACCCGGCTCAGTGATCTCAGTTTCTTTACTCTTATATGTTTATAAATTGTACGTTATTTGCTTTAAAAATGATTGAATTATGTTGTTCTTATCTTCCGGTTAAGATTTTTATGCCTTTAGTAAATCCGTATGCAATATTTTTAGAATTATCAACAATTTATAAGTTGTTTAAGTGCCGTTAAGCCTAATAATTTTTTTGATGGCAGCCATTGCTTGTTTACATTTGAAACAGCAGAAGAGTAGATTTGTTGCCAATCTAGAGAAACTTAGCTTCACAACAACAAAGATAACGCCTTCATTTATTATTGCGAATTAAATCATGCTTAATCCTTTCTGGAATTTTTTCGAGGAAATAAGTGTTTAAAATTTACTTTGTAATTTTTAATACAGATATTTTGAGTTTTTATGTATTTTTGCCTTGCTGCGAAGTGAGAACTGAATTAATTGAATGAGAAATACTCAATCGTCTGTGAAAAACTGTTTCTTTTTTGTTTTGTTTGCTTAATTTCTTTTATACATCGTTCTAGCTTTATTATAGTATTTGAATAGAACATGTGGCAATGATTAGATAATTCTTTAAATGATATAAATTTTGTGCATTCTGAGTTATAATATGAACGAAATACTATAATAGTGTTAAGTGAACCTCTAGCGCCAGAGTGTCGCTATGGTAAACAAGTAGAGTGAATTTTAAAGAATGCATTTATTCTATTGTGGTTTATGCACTGACGGTGAAGTAGATTTAATTCAATAAGTTTAAACAAAATGCAAGAAAAAATGCGTATAATTTAATATTCCGTACAAGGAAGTCATGTGGTGTACACATCAGATTTTTTATCTTTGAGGTTAAATGTGTGTACATTATTACTGACTGGGAAAAAAAAATTTTTTTGGAGGGAGGGGGGTAAAAATATATTTACAGGCGATAACTGGCAATTTTTGGTGGTACATGGATACCGAGTTTGTGCAGTTCTTATACTTGCTATTTTGGCTTTGGGTAGTGGCGATTTTTATGCTAAAAATTGCCGCTGCACAAAGTCAAAATATCAAATCAAAGAATTGCTCAAGCTTGGTAGCCATGTACATATGAACCTATTTTCACTTAAAAAAACATCAGAGATTTGCACAGACTTGGCATTGCACATGCCCTTGCCTTTGTCCATCTATACATCAATCCATTTTCACGTAAAAAGGTCAAAGGAGCAACCAACAAAAAGTATATAATCTCGATAAACTACATTTTAAATCAAACAATCAAATAACATAAAAAAGGAAATTCATCTTAGCACTACCCAAAGGAAATATCCACTTACCTCATTTAGAAATCTTTCTGTCTTCAGTCAAACAAAATTTCTTAACAGCATCCAAAAACTTCCTAAAATTATCTGAACCTGTGATTTATTAATCTTTATACTGGCGTCGCCACGTAAATTCACAAAGAGTCAAAAATATTCTCCAACATTTGACCATATGCATTTCCTTCCTGCAAATAATGGCTACTAAGTAAATTTTCATTTAATGCTCTTTTCCCCTATTGTTTCAAATTTTACAGAAACTTTAAATTAATCTCACTATATTCAGCCATTTTACCGTCCAAACCACAGAACAAGCAACAAACTTCTTAACCAGCACACACCACAAGCCCTTACAAATACTTTCCCATCATTCAAATTCACCGCAATCACGCAATCAATTGCGTTATAGTAGGGTTTTCATAACGTTCAACTACTCATGTTACCATAAACTACAACTCCGCGATAATACAGGGGCACCCTTAAATCTACTCTAACCTTTTTTTTTTAATAATTGGGTATAGTAATTATCATTGCATTTCTTTTTGATTTTTGTGCTAAAATCTTTATGTGTTGTTATTCATATTGACTGGAAAGAAATTATTAAAAAAAAAAAAAATCTTGTAATACTGACAAATGTCACATTACATTGCTGGTAAATGTTATGATTACAGTACTGATAAATGGCACATTAAATCAACTACGGCTTGGACAAGGGGGAGAATTTTAAATTCACCTAAATTGTTTTACTAATGTTTGAATGTCCTTTGTGTATTTTCATATAGAATATACAGAACCCAGAAATTCTAATAATTGCTGAACCTGTTTTTTTATATATTTGTAAATACTGCATTGAAATAAAATTTATGGTTAATAATAGAACATTTATGTAGAATTAAGTTTTTAGTTAAGAGCATCTTTCTTAGTAGTTAAAATTTATTTCTAGTTAAAAGTATCTTGGTTATTGCAGTTTTCTAGTTAAAAGTATCATGGTTTTCTTGGTTGTCGTTATTTAATAGTTGGAATTCAGTCTTTATCTCCCTTGCAGGGAGAATTTTGAAATTATGCAGCAATCTTAGTTTATAATTACAGAATTGGAAGTGCATACTTCTCATATATTCTATCCATAGGAGAACATAAGTCGCAGAAATCTGAAAAAATTTAATAGATAGTAAAAATATAGTTATTAAAGAACTGATGCCGTGAATTCTACAATGACACTACATGTATTTTTCATACAATTTTGGTCTTTTGTCAAAATGCTTATTTTAGTAAATAGCTGCTCTATTCCATTGTATTTATGTTCTTCGAAACGAAAGTCACTTTTAGAGGTGGTTACTTTAACATATTTCACTGCAGTTATTTTTGAGATACTTAGAGGATAAATAAGGAATTTAATTTAGACAATAATTAAAAAATATGTAAGGTATACGTTGTTTTTTATATTGTTTAATTTGGATAGTCTTTAATTTAACTTTAAATCGTTATCATTAAGTCTTTATTTTTTATCAATTTAAATTTAGATATTCCGTGATCCAGTACATGGACAGATAGAATTACATCCAGCTTGTGTAGCGATAATTGATACTCCTGAATTTCAGAGACTTAGGTACGTAAAGCAAACTGGTTGTTTAGAATATGTTTATCCCGGAGCAATACATAATCGATTTGGCCATAGTTTAGGGTAAGTGAAAATTTTATAATTCTTGCCTATAACGTATCTTATTCATTAATTTATAAACTTTAGTTTATTGTTACGAAAAAAAAAGATGTTTATAATCCTTTAAGAAACTTTTTTCTGTTTTTTAACACTTAGCTAATTTCCATCTCAAGTTTGCCTCTGTGTGCTAACCTATTAAAGTGTTAATCTCCTCCCCCCCCCAACTTGCCCCAGTAACCAAACGTGATCTCGACTTTAATTTATTTTAAATTTTTTTTTGTTAGTGATAACAAATAGTTTTAGATGATAGTTTGTTCGTGATTTTTGCTATAAAGGAATGTATATTTCAACTTTTTATATTTATTTATGTTCATTCAGCTGACAAAGCAGGTGGAATGTCTATGAAAGCTCTTGTACTTTTATTTATTTTTGTTAAATATGGTTCCAGTATGTCAACCTTAAAAATTTCATGAATAATTTTTTTTGACATAACGATGTAGAGTCATTAGTATTTTTTGGAAGCAGGAGATGCGAAAATGTGCATTACGCTCACCAGGGCTGGAACCCTGGACTTCTCGAATATGCGCCGAGTATGCTACTGTTACACCACAAAGGCATGCAGAAAGAAGGGAGAAATACTTAATAATAAAAGTCAAACGAATAATAGTGATAAAAAGAAGCACTGGTGGCACTGGATTTTAAATTAGGTTTCCTCCTCCGTAAAATTTAATACTTACTCCAATGTCATTGGACAACCCAATGCACTCCAAAAACCTAAATAATATGAATACTTTTTAGAACTTAAGCCTTGATATTTTTTTGCACTTATTTTTTAGAAGTACGACTTCATATTTCTCATAGTTGTTCATTTTAAAATTTCCTTATTTGTATAGCATTCGGGTGAAACTGGTGAGCCATGGTTTTATGCATTTCTTGTCAGATTAATAAGCAAGTGAACTTATGATTTGGGAGGGAAAAACAGGGAGGTGAGAGAACTTTTAATAGTTCTGTGTCTTCACTTGTTAGTTTTGTTATCAATTTCCTTTATGAAGTAGACTTGGGATTCCTAACCCCATTCTTGCATTGACCATTTTTATCTTCATTGATCTCCTTACATTTTTCTGTATAATACATAGCATACTACACAATCATAATGCAAGTAATTGTGCATAGGTAACTTAAAGATAACAATTAGACTAACAATATGAACAAAAATTTTGAAAAAATTGTTTTTAAGATTTATGTTTTATCATTTTTATTTTTACAAATATAAACAAGTTATAAGACACAAAATCAGATTCTAGTTTGCCTAAAAGTTTGCTTTTAATTGATGTGATGGTCGTGCTTAACGTATTGATGAAGTGGTTTTATTTATTTATTTATTTATTATTTTTTATATGGTAAACTTAATTCTTAATCACCTCAATTGAATGAGGCTTAAATCACTTCATTCAGAAATATTCAATTTGTTTCTACTAAATAAGAAAGTAGGGAAGTCAGTGTTAGTCTAGTAGCAAATTTAATTTAGGATATTTCTCTTGGATCACTTTTAAATTCAAAAACATAGCATGCCCATGTGTTTTGAATAAGATTTGATTTGTTTGTATGGCAAACTTTATATCAATAAGCAATTAATTAACACTTTTATTAATGCATTTTTTTGTAATTAATGAGTCTTTATTATGCTGATCTATTGCTAGTGCATATTCTACTGCTGACTGCTTGATCATCATAGACACCCTTTAAAATTTCATCAACCCGGAGGAGTTTCATACCAGCTTTGTAGAGAATTCCTGAAGGAAATTCAGATGTTTAAATAATAGCTTTGCCAATAGTTTATATAAGGCATTATCTCTGAGAATTTTTGATTAACTAATCTAGTAATCTCTCATCAGTATGTCTCTGAAGCAAAGTCTTACCTTATTTAAGTGAATCAGAATTTGGGAGGGGGAATCTTATTAAAACATCTTCTCTGGGCTCAAAGACTGTTTCACAGATAATTTCTCTAATGCCATATTAGTATTCATAAATTTTGTTAATTTGATCACTCATTTCTATATACAGGCTAATTATAATTAATGTCCCCCCCCTTTCACAAGGCTATAAAAGAACCACTGGTTGGGATGTTCTGAAATGTGACATGAAGCCATAGGAATGTTTTTGACGAAAGGAAAAAATAGTAGTAAATTTTATCAATGGATGCTGCTGTACTTATCATAATATGCTAATCAAAAGACGTTACGTGCATCACACTTTGGACATATTGGGCTGTTCGGAAAGTAATTTCGTTTTTTCTCAGCAGAGGATTTATTTAATTGTATTTTTCACAGCCAGATTCACACTTAAGCCGCATAATCATTTTATATTTTGACAGTTTATACAGAACGGCTTGTTTGTGAAAACATTCATTTGATTCTGTGCTGTAGTTTTTGGTTGGGGCCTTTTCAAATATGGAAAGTGAAAAGCAGTATTTTTGCATATTTTACTTTTTTACTATCGGAAAGGTAAAAATGCTGTTCAAGCAAGAAAAAACTTATCCAATGTGTATGGAGAAGATATATTGACAGAACACCAGTGCCAAAACTGGTTTGCAAAAATTTCAATCCAACAGTTTTGATTTTGAAGATGCACCACTTTCTGGAAGGCCAGTTGAAGCTAAAAACCATAAGAACATGAGAAACCTATATGTCGAACATTGAGATTAAATTCAAGTCATTTCAAATGATCATGAACTGTCGACTTTGATAAATATAATCTCTCAGTGATCTCATGAGCAGTTATTCACTGCTTTGCATCAATTAATGCCTTTATTGTGTCTTCATCAGCTTCAACTGTCCTTCCAGAACGTGGTGCATCTTAGAGATCAAAATTTTGCAAACCAGGTTTGGCACTGGCATTCTGTAAATACTCTTCTCCATGAACATTGGATAATTTTTTTTTTCTTGCATAAATAGTATTTTTACCTTTTCCTTAGTAAAAAAGTGAAATATTCTGGAAATGCTGCTTTTCACTTTCCATATTTGAAAGAGCACCAACCAAAACTTACTGTGTAGAATCAATCAAGCTTTTTCACAAACAAGCCTTGCTATATCAGCTATCAAAATATATAATGATTTTATGGCTTAAATGTGAAACTGGCAGTGAAAAAAATACAATTAAGGCCTCTGTTGAGAAAAAACAAAATTACTTTCCGAACAAGTCAATATAATAAAAACATGGGGTGCATGCAGTTCATGTTATTCTGCATCTTCGTCATGTCTGCTTGTGAAGCTTTTTTACAAAAACGGTGACTGTGCATTAACTGTCCTGAAGAAATTCTAGACGCTAGTTGGTATAAGATGCTGCTATGGTCGCGGCTTTGGTCCAGTGTCTGGTAAGGATCTGCAGAAGATGATTCATAAATTTGAAGAGAACGGTTCTTTTGACATGAGATCTAGCAGAGGGATAAAAGCAATTGTTTTGATTTCGGTGAAAGATGTGGCTATAGCATTGCTAGAAGAGACAAGCAGTGATGGGGGAATGCAGAGTGCAAGGGAAATTGCCTAATCTCTAGACATGCCTATCAGCACAGTTTGTAAAATTTTACAAATCCTGCAAAACCCAATCAAAAATTCATTATCCATTCAAATTTTGCTTGTTCAGAAGTTGCTTCTTTTTGACTTGCCTGTACCACAAACATTCACCATATATTTTCTTGTGTGGATGGAAGTGAATGGTGCATGATCATGAAGCACATTTCCAACTCCCGAATTCTATCAATACACAGAGTTGCAAAATATTGGCAATGGATAATCTATTCCCAATGCACCAGTTGCTCTTTATTCTGAAAAGGTCACTGTGTAAGAGTGGGTTTCATTTATCATTGTCTCATTCTTTTTGTGTGGACCCTGTAACCGTCACAGCCAGTTTCAAACTGTATAGATCACCAGATGATTCCAGCACTTCCACAGCATGAATGTGTGGGTAGCAAAATTTTTATGCAAGATTGCACATTGCAAGATGAGTGAAGCAGCTGCCGAATGCCCACTTTGGAAATGGCAACATTATCAGCTGTCATTTTTCAACAGCCAGACTTCCATCCTAACCATAAATCCTTGTGACTTACGGTTGGGGTTTACTTGGAAAATTGTGTTTACAATGCTGCAGTTCTTAATAGAATTAAAGACACACATTAACCTTTTCCATCGCACAAGAAAATTGAATGTTACTTTTAACCTTCCTAATTTAAACTAGATGGCAGCACAACAAAAAATAAGCCATATATTTTAGCCATGTTTAAATTTTAAAGATCCTCATTTTTCAAGATTTCTTGCAGATTTTTTTAGGGTATAAAAGGAACTGTTTGAAAAGATATTTCTATGTTATTTTTTTTGGCTGTATGCTGTCTCTATTCTATATAAATTTTAAATTTTTACATTGAGATCTTGCCTAAAATCAAACTATGAACACCTGATGTGCCTAGAGTGGGAACACTGAAACACCAGGACCAGACCAACAACTGTATCTTTGTTTCACTGCAGTATTTTCTTCACTGAGCTCTTTTGCAAAAGAAGGGTGGGTGCATTTAGCAATAGAAGGATTTGTGTTTCATTTTCTGATTTTCTTTTGCTTTTTCTGAGGGATGTTTGGTTATCAACTAAGAAATTGTTGAGGTACTCTTTCTGAAGGTTAGGGATAATTTTATGATTTAGTTCTTCGATTTTTTATGAGAACAGTTCTTTTTTTTCTTCTTTTGCTTTTGTTAAAAGAAATTTTTTGTTAGTTCTACATTTTGATTGTTTTCAGTTGTAGATGTTTATTTAATTTTATTTGATAGTTTTTATTTTCTTAATTGTAGATTTAATAGTAGTTTTTTTTTTATGATTTTTAATTGTTTTGCAAATGGATCGGAGAGGGCTGACCATTTCTGAAGCACTCAAAGTGCTAAATGAATTGCCTTCAGATAGTGAATCAGATACGGATCCCAGTACATGTGCAAAACATGCAGTATTGGGTTGTGCTTTTTCAAAGGAGGGGTCACTTACGGATCCCAGTACATGTGCAAAACATGCAGTATTGGGTTGTGCTTTTTCAAAGGAGGGGTCACTTGCTTCAAATAGTACCACCATGGGGGGGAATAGATGAACGTGTAAATATGAAATGTAAATATAAAATGTAAATATCATATAGCCAAATTACCTTTTTGATTTATAAGCATGTAATCATCATATAACCAAGATGAGGTTTTTTGGTGGGGGTGTAGAGTAGAAGGGCTCCCCGTGGTGTTTCCTGGGGAAGGCTCAATCTGCTACGGTAATCAGAAACTAGTGTTTTTTTATCGTAGGCAAAATCTTATACTCTGTTGTGCATTTCCTAGCAATGGTCGCTTCAGTGCTGTTTTCAAAGCTCTATCATTCAGTGAGCCCGCTTCGAGCACACCCACAGAATTTAAATGGTAAGTGCTATCTTTACAAAATTTAACCTGTGTACTTCTCTAGGCCTGATTAGAATGTCTACCATTTTTTAGTTAAAATTCCAACTTTTAAAAGTAGCATGCCAAAAAGTGTTAAGTACCACATTCACATCTGCATGTATGCACTGCAGTCAAGAGATCAAGTGCTGTTTTGCGATATCAGCTTGTTTCAGAAAACAATGAACAACACACCGAACATTTATTAAGCAGGTCTAGATATAATTAAAACCAACTCACTGTTTTTTTATATGGTTTGAGGCTTAGAGACAATTAAAAACATATTTTTAATAAATTTCAGTCTGTTTTTTTTTTCTTTCGCTCTATTAATTCCTATCGCTTCACATATATTTAGGTCAAATGTCAAGTCATTCTAATCATCAGTTCTTTTTGTACAGCCTTTCGAAAGAGGGACTTTAATTATAATCATCCTTTATATATAAATATAAATGATGTGAAATTTTGAATTTATTTTCTAGTGTGTGTTATCTTGCTGGAAAATTCCTTCAAGAACTTAGAGAGCATCAACCAGAATTACAGCTGTCGGATACAGATGTGTTATGTGTTGAGTTAGCTGGATTATGTCATGATCTAGGACATGGACCATATTCTCATACCTGGGAATCTTTTATGAAAACTTCAAATTGCCAAAGAAATGTTAAAACAGCATGGAAGGTAATATTTTTTATATTTTTCTAAAATATATCTAAACAGAATAGGAGGTATGCTTTTTATTAGATATTTCAAATACATTTAAACCTCTTTTACAGTAGTGGATGGAACTACATTTCAAAGGATTAAATGTAGGAAATGCTTTCCAAATATACTTCTCACATTTAACATTTTATGATTTATCAGGATAATATACGCGACAACATCTGCAATTAACCTAAAATTATGGTTAATCAGTAAAAGCAAGAAAAAGTAATAGAAAAGTAATTAATTAATAGAAAAGAACTGTTAACAATTTACTTGGATTTTCACACTGTTTTATTTAGAGAAGTTGATATGATTACATAAATTAATTCATTAAAAACGAGGGGCCACACTACAGGACAAAGAGTAATGTTTTTGTTAACAGTTAAATTTCATTTAATATAAGTTGGTGAGAAATACATTTGTGTATTTGGTGTGTGTGAATGTGTAAGAAATGTTCTTTTGGAAAAACGTTTATCAAAATCGCCATTTCTTTCTGTTATGTGCATTTGTTGTAAACTTTGATCCTACTGTTTTTGTTTGAATTAATCTAGAATAATAAATTTTTTAGTTCTTAAAAGTGCTGTAAACTATTTGATTCTTTTAATGTATTAAGTGAGTATTTTTTTCTTTATTGTCTTAGCATGAAATGGTCTCAGCTAACATGCTTGATTATCTCATTGAAGAAAACAATTTATTTCCCATATTAAAAGAATTTGGAATAGGATATGAGGAAATAGAACTTATTAAAAATTACATTATGGGAACACAGGTAATAATTTTTTTTTAAATGCCTGCTTTTAAAACTGCTGCTTTTGCTTTAAATTTAATTATTTCTAGTTTTATGTAAAGGAAAATCATTACATTATGTATATTTCTTATTTTAGCCAAGTAATGAGAACAAAGCTTTTCTTTATCAAGTAAGTGTCCATTTTTTTTAATCTAGTAGTCTGTGTGTAGTTAATGACAATGAGCTTACAATCCTTTTGTTTAGCAGGTTTATAGTGTAAAATTTCAGTAGAACTTTGTCTTGTATGTGGATCATTTTTCTGATCAAACTTTGTCTTGTGTGTGGATCATTTTTCTGATCATGTTTTATATTTGAAAAGGCTGTATAGGCAATTTTATAATTTTTAATTTTTACATAGGTGTAATGCAAAGCTAGTTTCTTGTTCAAAATCAGGTTTTTGCTTAATTTATTAATTTATCATAACTGATATAAAAAGACCCACCCTAGCTAGGTGTTCAGCTGGAGAATGAAAACAATAACTGTTTGAGGAAAAATAAAATATGCCTTGAAGTTTGATGTGTAGAGTAAAAAATGATACTTTTAATGATTAGTTTTTTTGCTTATTCAAAAACTGTAAAGATATTCAAGAGGAATGATATAAAATACCCCTTCTGTTACTAAAAATGCCTTGTCTGGGAAATGCCTAAAAATGCCTTGTCTGGGTCTTATGGTGTAGAAAGATAGTGAAGAATAAGTGTTACCAAATGGAACATTTAAAACAAAAACATTTTTATTAAACTACTTCTGTCAATACAATGAAAATCATCTAAAAAATGTGTGAACATCCTCTGTAGAAGAGATGGACTGACCAATATGAGCTTTTGCATCAGTCTCATCTTGCTATCAATTTAGTGGATAGCAGAATTGTACTTGGGGCAGTGATTGAACACATAGTATTTCCAAGAGCCTTAATCTAGTATTTAGTGTCTGTGGAACAAGAACTTGCATGCAACATTGACAACATCTGCAAAGGAGGGAAATTTTTTCAAGGTATCCATTTCTGTATTACTTTTAATTCAATATCATAAGCATGTGTGGCTGCATTAATACAGTCAACACCAGGTGTAAGAAATTGAATGGACATTGTTTTTACACAGAAATCTCAATTCTGCATACACCACCACAATAGTTGCATCCGAGTCTGATGATGTGACATCACTAACCATTGCATCACATATTGATCTATTACTTTTAGTTATGATTTGAAGTGTTGTTGGATTTTGCTCCTTCGTTTTCTTGATGTGCATTTACAACATATTCAATAAGTACCATTATATAAATCTTTCAATATCAGGGCATGTCACAACTGTTATTGCCAGCCATGGCAATGGTGCAAAATACTGATCTCATGTTCCACAAGTCCGGCAGGGCTGTAACTTGAGTAAGTTCACCCTTCTACCTTATAAAATTTGGCTCTTGATTTTGATAATGTGTGTTACGTTTCAGATATCCGAGAATTTTTAATGAAGAAGTTGTGTCTGTGCTTTAATAACCTTTGTACATAAGCTAACCTTGTATATCAGCTCTGCTGTAACTGGATGAGCATTTAACGTGTCTTCTTCTGATATAAAGAGAGGTTCCATCTCCAAATGTTATTTGGATGTCTATCATATATAGCCGTGTTGTTACATAAGAAATGATCCACAGAAAAGATTAACTTTTTAAGACTGTCTTGCTTTCAGACAATATCATGTAAGCACTAAAAACCTTCTAGATATATATGTTGTGTTTAAACAAAGCTAATATAATTCTTCAGAAATTTTCTTTGAACATTGAAATTCTCACGTGAGAATTTTTTTTCACCCCATACCAAATTTGTTTCCTCTTGAGAAAATTGAACACTCTTTGATGTTTGCATCTACCATCAATGGCAGTATTGTTGCATGAGTACAGATGCGTGAGTCATAATAGACGTGCGTGAGTCATAATAGTTGCGTGAGTCATAATAGATTGAATGCTGAAGTCCGATAAAAGGTTAATAAAATTTATTCTTATCAAAAGAAATATAATAAAACATTGGAATTTTTCTCAGAAATATTTGTACAAGTGTTCAAAATATCACGCAGTAAAATAAGTAGTTGTACTTTAAACTAAAAGCTTTCAAACAGTCGCAAGATAGTTCTAGTAATTTCTTTGCTTCTCAAGATTTCTGGAAACTAACAAAAGGATGGAATTATGGTTGCAGCTAACACAGTAGTCAATTATATTTATTCAGTTTTAGTACAAATAAAAGAGATATCCATTTATTCAATGTTAAATGCACATGCTGTTATATTTTTACTTTTTTGGCATAGCTTTCTCTTAAAATTTATCATGCACTGCATTGCACGGGAGAATAAAAGAATTTTAATTATAATTCTACGAAAAATAGCTAACTAAATGCAAAATTTGTAACAATATGTTTAAAAAAATCCACAGATTCCTAGCCATTAAAAAGTTTGCATTACATGCTTAATTTTTGTATGCTTTATAAAACTGCCCCTTTTAGCCATCTTGGTCAATGAAGAATCTTCAGTTTTCTATGTTAGTTATGTGTAATTTCTATTATATTTACTTAGTTACTAGAACTTAATTTTTTTAAAGTTTTTCTTGCAGTATTTTTTACGATGATTTTGTGTAACTAATGTAAGATTTGTGCATGATCTATGATAAAAACCTTTACTTTTTTCAAAAATTAACGTTGCTGCTTTACTAGAGGGAGGATTTATTTCTAAAAAATAATGGATATTATAATTTTTTAATAAATGAGATCTAAATTAAATATCCATCAGTTTCACAGTGAGGATTGTCTGTAGAATTGTTTTATTTCGATATTATGGTATTATGCAAGCACTAAAATATTAGTTAGCCCTTTTTTATTTAGTCATCATTTTTCAAGATTATATTTTTTACACCTTAACAAATTTGCATCTGAGATTTGGACTGAATCAGTTTTACGTGAAACTTTATGTATATTTCGTTCAACATCTGTTAAATTCTGTTACCTTGAAATGAAAAGTAATATAGCTGTTACATCTGTTTTTGATTTATTTATGATAATAGATTGTGAACAATGATGATTCTGGGCTTGATGTTGACAAATGGGATTATTTCCTGCGAGACTGTTTCTTTCTAGGACTTCCTTGCAGTTTTGAGTATGAGCGCATAATGCAATTTGCGAAAGTGTTTGTTGTTGATGGAAAAGCAGAGATTTGCTATCGAGACAAAGTAAGAGCTAAATTGGTCTTTTAAAGTATTGTTTTTTAATTGAATTACATTTTGTCAAATTTTTAATTTCTGTTTTTCTTTTAGATTTTAGAATCGGTGTACAACGTTTTTCGCACTCGAAGTAATCTTCATCGTTTAGCATATCAACATAAGATTGTTACAATAGTTGAGAAGATGTAAGATTTTAAAATTATTTTTATTTATTTTAAAACTTATGAATGCCATAGATTAAACCAGTGTTTTCCAGCCACTGTTCTGCAACACACTACTTAAAAATTTCGAATATCCATTTATGCTATTTGGATAAGCTTTAAATAAAATGCTACTTGTACATTGAAGCCATTAATTTGTATTTTGACTGTGCTATGTTATTAACACCTGCAAAGCATCAATGTTCAGATTATCACTTTTGTTCAGTATACTCTAAAAACATTTTGTATTATTCTTTCACATTTAACTGTGTCTTAAGCACATTAATTCATTTCATGTTCAGAGAAACTGTACGAGACTATTAAAAAATGCAGTAGTATTCATTCTGTATTTGGTATGAGAAGAAAAAATGTTTCTAAAATCTTTCATTGGGTTATTTATTGAACATCTAGATATATGATGCCAGTATCTAGCAAGTGCAGAGTACAATGATAAAGATTTTGCTTCGATTAAAATGTCATACTTGTGTGAACTATCATTATCATTGAGAAACTGTGGTATACACTCAACACATTAATTGCTCTAATTAGGTCAGTTTAATGTAATAATACTTAAAATAATTATATGCCATAAAATCATGAATGTTTACATAAATGTGTTGTTGGTCATAACTGGAAATCATTGCATTAGGTGATAGATTTCTTTAAGTGGTTATATATATTATTCCTAAACAAAATCGCATTACAACTATATGGAAAAAAATTCATGACTGAAAACTGGCATTTTAAAGTTAGTTTAGATACCATTTTAAGCATTAACATTAATTATTTTATGCATATTTTTATTGTGTACATGTAGCAGTAATCCCAATTTTAAAACATAGAAATATATCAGTGTTGTAGATATATTATCATACCTATATTTGTCTGTTACGACCTCTCAGCACATCATTGTTATACTGACAATCTCTAAATTCTAACTGTTCATAAATTTTCTCTAACTATTCATAAATTCTGCAATCATTAATGAATATTTGGCATTAACAGTGCTTTAATGATTTAGAAACTCAAATGTATGTATTCATTGAAAATTTGCAGTTACTCCTAAATATGCTTTTTTTTTGAAGTCATAATGTAACCAAAAAGAACAGTTTTTTTCCATTTTTTAACATTTGAAATTAGATATTTATTGTACAAATTTTCTATCCTGGTAAAATAGAAACTTCCATAATTTCACTTTTGAAAATGTTTGTTACAAGTCATTCAATAAAAGAAAAAAAAGGGGGGGGTCTTGATATACTGTAAATTTTGCCCTTTCCAAATAGCTATAAAATCCTCAGTGTGGAATTAATCAGAATAGCATTGTGTGGCATGTGTCTCAAAGAGATCATTTTACATCTGAAATTTCTGCAATTAAGTTATAAACTGGCAGTATTATTTTGCATAAAACCATTTCAAATGTTAAACTAGAATCTGATTACAAAAATCAATCACACACGCTTATGTATATAAAATATAAAAATTCTAGCTTTAATTTATAATAGCTCTTAAAGTGATCTTTATAATTTGCTTATTTTTCGTTTGTTTTGAAAATAGTTATAAGCTTGTTATAAACATTTCTGAAGTGCATAATTTCAAAATTAATTCCTATCATGAGATTCTTTTATAACACTAATAATGCCACTAAAGTAATTCCCCCTTTCCTGAGTTACGTAAGTAATGCATTCCATAAACTTTTATGTTAGTCGACTTTGGAAATTGCTTATGTTATGTTAGTATGAAATATCAGTATTTATACTGGCTTCCAAAGGCTAAGCATGCAGCACTATTAAATTAGTGATTTTTGAAAATGTCGTTGAATTTGAGAGGCTGAAAATTGCTGTGGATGCAAATGGCAGTATTCAAGTATTGTATGTTACACCCAATAACAGTTCATTGTCTGAAGATATGCTAATTAGACAGTTGTTGACGACATGAATATTCTAAAGGGTTTTAGGAGGTTAATTTAAATGCTGATATGAAGTATTTATAATTTTCGTAGGATAGTTATCTTTGACTGTATTCGTATTTCTATGGCTGAAAGGAGATGAATGACAGATAGGGAGCACTGTTGGGCTGTCACATACTTTGAAGCAGGATAGCCAATGAGAAATACTGCTCTTTTCTTTGATAATGATCATTTGATAATTTGTCAAATGTGAAAACAATTCCCAACGAGTTAAACAGTTGTTTGGAGGCCCGTGCTTGGTCAACCAGATTACCAGCCTTCTGAAGATATTGCTATAATAGGCAGGTGGAATCAATAAGCAAATTTCACAGTTGGTTTTAATCATTGTTGCAAAATCAGTTGGTAACACAATCTCTGCCAGTAGTGTGTGCCAAAATCTTCATAAGGAGGGACAGTATGCCAGAGTACCAAGGGTTTGTGTTTCATTAACTGCTCAGTCTAGAGGGGCAAGAGTATATTGGTAATTTATTAATGCAATGTTCTGTTGAGGGGCGAGCCCAGATTTGTTCTGGAGTCAGATAAGTGTGTATGGGGTCTGAAGAAAAATGAAGCACACAAACTGGAGCATCAAATATCACTATTCAGAGATGGCAACATCATGATGTGAGCAAAAATTTGATAGGGATACTGCACCCAGCTATGCATCTTTAAAGATAGCTGTGTTGTATCGAGATGAAGTCCTGTACCCCATTGCAACACTCTGCAGTGCTGCAATTGGTTCTGATTTCTTCCTTACAGAGAAAAATGCCTTTCCCATCAAACTAACATTATTGAGTGGATGGAGTATGAAAGTATTTCATGTATGTAGTAGTTGCCATTTTATTCCTACTTAAATCCCACTGAAAATCTTTGGGATGCATATGGCTTGTCTGTATGCAATTGTCTTTTCCAGGCAATCTTACACAGTTTTCTTATTGTCTCATACTGGAAAACATCCACTTAATATTCCACTTCATTGTTTCTCTTCATAATTAATTGTAATGTTATGAATATGTAACTATGACTGCATATTCCTTATAACTTTCCAATTGTCATGTTGGATCCAAAATGTCTATGTTGGATCCAAAATTTTATCCCACTAGTACTCACCCATCTACATGCAATATATATAATGAACTTTAACGTAAACCAAGAATGATATAAATGACTAGTACTCACCCATCTACATGCAATATATATAATGAACTTTAACGTAAACCAAGAATGATATATATGAATATTAGTACAGTACAAAGTCTGTAATCTGGACGTCCATAATGCAGAATGATCTATAATCCGGACCTCAAAGCTGCAAACTTTATGCACATCTGCAAATGCATAATGCGTTTACACATGCGCATATTCGTTTACGCATGCACATAATGCGTTTATGCATGTGCGGTTAATGTATAACGGATGGTATAAGCTAGGCTAAAATTATATAAGGTATTTCAGTTAATGTTGCAGATTGCAGTGTTCCTTAATCTTCTAATTGGATCCGGCTTATTATTTTTTGCAGACTATTAGAACAATTTTATAAAAATTAGGCTTGGACTTTCGATTATGTCAAAAAGAGTTTCCAATTCTGGAGCTGCCAAAGGATCTACAAAGCGAAAGCATGTCTTGATGTCCATTAAACAAAAAGTGGAATTACTGCAAAAAATGGATAAAGGCCTATCCATCTCAAAATTATGCGAGAAGTATGGCATTGGAAAGTCCACTATATATGGCACAAGAAAAGGAACTTCTTGAATTTTTTGTGGAAGCATCTTAAACAACTTACATTGAAAGAAATGTTTAATAAAGTAAACAAATAAATATTAAGCTTTTTTTTTTGTAAATTTTGACGCCCTTTACATCATAATTGTTCTTTATTTCATAAATTACATATTTTTAATTGTATCATTTCTGCATGCCGTCTTACCAGATTTAAATTGATGATCTATAATCTGGAAAACCCGTAAACTGGAATCACCGAAGTCCCGACGAGTCCGGATTACGGACTTTGTACTGTATATAGTTTATATTGTGCGAGATTTTTGTATCATGGGAAGCATAATGTAGGTTGAGAGTAAAATAACTAATTGGAAGTGAATGAGGAAATCTGAAGTAAGAAAAGTATAAAAAAGAAAAGTCGGTAAAAAGATACAGTCAAAAGTCGTTAATTCGGACACCCATAATCCGGAATGATCTATAATCCGGACCTAAAAGCTACAAACTTTCTGCGCATGCGTCGCGTTGACCATTACCGCTGCGAATTTGTGTGTGCGCAAAATACGTTTACGAATGCGCGTTTAATGTATAACGGATGGGATAAGCTAAGCTAAAATTATCTAATTATCGATTTCAGTTAATGTTGCAGATTGCGTTGTTCCTTAATCTTCGAATTGGATCCGGATTATTATTTTTTGCAGACTGTTAGAGCAATTTTATAAAACTAAGCTTGAACTTTCGATTATGTCAAATAGAATTTCCGATATATATTTACTAATATGTAAAGGATATACAAAGCGAAAGTATCTTTCGGACTCCATTAAACAAAAAGTGGAATTGCTGCAAAAAATGGATAAAGGCATATTCTTTGTTTATCTAAACTTTAACGTTTGTTTATCTAAACTTTGTTTATCTTTAACGCCGCAGCATCAAATGCCTCGTCATTATAATTCGCTTCCTATAGCGAAGAAAGTGACAGAGGTTATTGAAAACGAAAAAATTTCGATTGACAAATTAGTCGGTAGAACTTGAACAGCGGAACTTTGTAACTGAACAAGAAATTATGTCTATTTATAGAATTAAAGAGAATGTATTATCATATAAAAAACGAAGCAACTGAAACAACTTACATTGAAAGAAATGTTTAATAAAGTAAACAAATAAATATTAAGCTTTTTTTTTTGTAAATTTTGATATCCTTTAGATCATAATTGTTCTTTATTTCGTAAATTACGGTTTCATATTTTTAATTTTATAATTTCTGCATGCCATTTTACCAGATTTAAACTGATGATCTATAATCCGGAAAAATCCATAATCCGAAATCGCCGAAGTCCCGACGAGTCCGGATTAACGACTTTTGACTGTATATGGAAAAAATCCATTGGTAATAGTTATCCATCATCTGCAGTTCTGTTAGCAAAGCCAACACACGATTGACAATCAATCATTATTAATCATGTTTCTAAGTGTACAGCATGAATATTTTGGAATTAGTTAAAATTAGAGAAAAGGAAAAAAAAATATTAGTTAAGGAAGATGAATGTAAGGTTAAAAAAGTATTGTGCTTTTACTTAATTCATGTATCTTAAGGTTGATGAAAGGCTTATTTAAATCAGATATACACAACAGTGTAACATGTTCTTTATCAAATTCATCTGGTTTGTTTTAATATCTTTGGTATAAATCAAAATAGTACTGTAGCAGTTGGTTAAAAGTTAAACGTGAGACAAAACTTAGTAGAAATGGTTCTCAAATACAAATAATATGTTGCTTATAAATTCATTTTGTCTTAATAACTTAGGTGTAAATCAAAATAGTTCTATAGGCAAAAGGGAGGAAACTTTGCAAAAATGGCTCTTGAATGCAATACCATGTGATATAACTACTGTGATAAACATTTTCCTCTATGTTAATATGCTGCTGATGTTTTGCATAAATATCTTAAATATTTTTTTTTCCAGTCTTGCAACTTAAAACTGTTTGGCAAAAACGGAATTAGTGACCAGGATATATTATGCTTAGACATGTCATTTTCACACACTAGTGATATGGATGCATAGAAATTTAATGTTAATCCTCTGTGGGTATATCATTCCATAAGTTAAAATACTGTTAATTTTCAGTTTAAAATGAAATAAAAATACAGCTTTTCATACTTCTAATAAAATAGTTACTCCATAATCAGAAATTCTGAATTCCGATGCAAAAGAATGATATTGGAAAAATAATAGCCATAAGGATTTGATTTTAGGCTTTTATAAAATAAAAGCTTAAAACGAGCAGTGCAGCTGTTACTATATTGAAAGAATAATTTAAAGAGAGATTGCACTAGGCCAATAGTCGTTGTCTTTTGAAAATATTTTTTTCAGTGATGCTGTATCCTGTATAAAGAGAAATTCATAAGTTATACTCTTTAGCTGTGTGATAAAATAATGATGAATATATAAAAATTATGCAGATAAAGCGTATACTTTTTTTTCCTTGGCTAATCTGAATGTTTAGATTCATTTAAATATACAGCATATGTATTGCTTAGCTCTGTTTAAGCGGCTGTGCAGAACACTTGCTTCCTGGAATCCAATAAAAAATATATCTAATAAGGATGCATATATAGTACAGTCAAAAGTCGTTAATCCGGACTCGTCGGGACTTCGGCAATTCCGGATTATCGATTTTTCCGGATTGTAGATCATCAGTTTAAATCTCGTAAGATGGCATGCAGAAATTCTAAAATTAAAAATATGAAACCGTAATTTATGAAATAAAGAACAATTATGATCTAAAGGGTACAAAATTTACAAAAAAAAAAAAAGCTTAATATTTATTTGTTTACTTTATTAAACATTTCTATCAATGTTAGTTGTTTAAGTTGTTTCGTTTTATGTGATAATACTTTCTCTTTAATTCTATAAACAGACATAATTTCTTGTTCAGTTACAAAGTTCCACTGTTCAAGTCCTATAATTGCGGTGTCGAGAATATCGACTAATTTGTCAATCGAAATTGTTTCGTTTTCGGTAACGTCTGTGTCACTTTCTTCACTATCGGAAGCGATATTTTCTGGATCTAGAACCATACTACATATTTTGCTGTCCGTTAATTGATTGATGATTGCTGCATTGTCGTCGCAACGAAAAACTTCTCTTATATCATCTTCATTTATTACCGCTTCTCCACATTTCTTTACAAAATCCAATAACTGAAAAATTTCACCTTTAGTTTGCGATGTCCGAAAACCTTCAAATTCGCCGCTATCATCTTCATCCTCCTCACCATGAAATATGGTAGATGGCCATAAATTATGCCAAGCATTTTTTAACGTACTTGAAGACACATCCTCCCATGATCTTGCAATGCTCCACACGGCAGATTTTATGCTAAAAAATTTCAAAAATTCTTGAATAGTCTTGCCACTGTTCAAGAAATTTAACATAGATTTTAAAAATGCTGTTTTATATTTGCATTTCAGCGCGTGCACTATTCCCATATCCATAGGCTGAATGATAGACGTACAATTTGGAGGGAAGAATAACACAGATACATTATCTTTCACTAAAACTTTAAGTGAAGTATGCGCCGAACAGTTATCAACAATCAGAACTATTTTTGAGTTATCAGGTAAACCAACTGAATTCAAACGTCACCGAGCCTCGGGTATAAAATGATTTTCAAACCAATCATTCATCAACACTTGTGTCATCCATGCTCTTTTATTTGCGTGATATATAACAGGGAAAATCGTTACTCCTTTAAACAGTCGAGGTCGTGCATGTTTTCCGATTACGAAAAGTTTGCACTTGTGCATTCCTGCAGCATTTGTGCACGCTAAAATTGTTAGTCTCGCTTTGGAATCTTTGACACCAGTTGGAGCCTTTTCTGTAGAGGTTGCCAAGGTATTTCGCGGTACATATTGCCAGAAAAGACCAGTTTCATCAGCATTGTAAATTTGTTCTGCACATAATTGTTCACTAGTAATGAATTCGATGAATTCATCTGCAAATTGTTCAGCAGCTTCAGTATCAGCTGAAGATTTTTCACCAGAAATTTTTAATTGTCTTATACCATGGCAATTTTTAAATTTTGTCAACCAACCTGTTGAATTTTTGCACTCTCCGTTTAAGTTCATTTCTTCATGAAATATTTGGGTTTGAGCCATTACCATTGGACCCGTCAATGGCACGCCCTCGCTGCGACGCTGTCTGACCCATTCAATCATCACTCTGTCATGATCGTCACTTTTAGCATAACGAACCCTTTTTCTGTTACTCATTGCAAGTGGGGTGTCGGAATCCACAAAAAAATCAAAAAGTTCCTTTTTCTTTTTGCTTATGTCATATACAGTTGACTTTCCAATGTTATATTCCTTGCATAACTTTGAGACAGGTATGCCTTTATCCAATTTTTGCAGCAATTCCACTTTTTGTTTGATGGACATGGAAACATACTTTCGTTTTGTAGATCCTTTGGAAATTCCAGCATCGGAAATTCTATTTGACATAATCGAAAGTTCAAGTTTACTTTTATAAAATTGCACTAACAGTCTGCAAAAAGTAATAAGCGGGATCCAATTCGAAAATAAAGAAACAACACAATCATTAACATTAACTGAAATAGATAATTAGATCATTTTAGCTTACACCGTCCGTTATACATTAAATGCGAAGGCGAAAACGTATTCTGCACCTGCGCGCGCGCATATGCGCAGTCGTCCAGGTCTTACACGCACGCGTAAAACGCCTGTGCGCATGTGCCAACATGGCGCATGCGCAGAAAGTTTTTAGCTTTGAGGTCCGGATTATGGGTGTCCGAATTAACGACTCTTGACTGTATATAAGTTTTGTATTGATGCTGTAATGTGCTTTATGATCTGATAGTGAGCCTTCCAATTAAATAAAAATTTATTGACTTTAATTTTCTTCAATCATTGTCCCTCCCCCCTTCCCAGTTAATTTTCTATGGATGCTCATGTGCTAGCAAAGGTAAAGTTGTCAAAAGTCAAAATTCTTTTAACATTAATTAATCTTTATTAAAAATATTTTTAGTTTTCTTTCACAAGCCACTTAAATATTTTAAAATATTTTCCTGGTTCCTAATAACTGCATTTTCAAATTCCTGACAAGAAAGAAATTCAGCTAAAGGTAGCAACTGAATTCATCAAATAATTTAAATAGCATATTTTGATAAATGCTATTAATATTTTGCTTAGGTTTCATATTAGCCTCACTACAAAATAAATATGAAGAACATATATTTGTTGTCATTGTTAAAAAATCCATGGCTGCACTTGGTGGTATCACTTATATATTTTTTAATCTTTTTTAATTAATAGGATTAAAAGTTGAGTTGCTGATAGCCTAGGTGTTAAATGAATTTTTTACTTTCCCATGCCCGAAATTCTGAGTTAGTCCATTCAATGGTGTTTGCATCAAGTCACACAAGTTTCTTTATTAGGATGTATTATAGCTCTGATGTTAAAATTATTTGTCTATAATTACTGAATGAATGATGAACTATTTATTGTAGAATTGTCATGGTGTATCACAAAAGTTAACTTATAGTTCAGATTGGTAAAAATAAAATTGAAATTACTTCAGAGTTTCCATTATTTTAGATATTATTATTATTTTAGATTATCATCATCAGATATCAGATTTATTATCATTATTTTAGATTTATTAGCTATTACTTTTCCTACATGAATTTAGTAAACAAAAACAAATTAAAAATTTATCCTGTATTTCTTAAAACAATTCTTGCTTAGTATCTGTATAGACAAAAATAAAATTTGTTGTCTTCATTTATTAAAATTTTAATCTTTAGAGTTTGAATTTATGTAATTGTTAATTTCTGGTTATTTTCAATTCTATTTTGAAGATAAAATGTAAATTAAATATAGTATTTATCAAAGTATTGGTTACAAATTAATTTAATTCACTTATTGTAATAAACATAGTTATGTAATTATTTTCTAAATATGTGTTCTTCATAAATAAACTTGTTTTGAAATGTAATAAATATTATTATGTCAGGTTTATTGATGCTTTTCTACTTGCTGATGGAAAAATTACTGGACCCAATGGGTAAATATTTGAGCATTTCTTTCTACATATAATTCACACATAGAATGAGTATCCTGAATAAAATTTCTGAATCAAATTTTAGAGGCAGTGTTTAAGTATTTAAAGATACATATTTTTTTTAACTTAAAAATGGTAGTTGTTAATTAACTGAATCCAAAAGGGTTTTCAGATGCTGAGGGGCGAAGAATATGCTAATTAGGGGGTCCATATTTCGTCACCGAGTGTTTATGAAACTTCATTTGTAATTAAAGTCCTCAGATCTATCATATTAGTTTCTGTCTCCATTGTGCATATTTGCATGAACCTGCATGTGTTATATATAATTCATTTGAATGCTTAGGAACTTGAGGAATTTTTCTTGCTTATTTCTTCACTGAAAGCTAATATCCATCTCTGAAGAAGATTTTTCCACTTGTAATGAAGACGAGAGTCTATAATGTAATTACTCAGTCTACTGTGGTAGAATGTGAATTTAACTCTTTGCGACACAGTGTGTCCGGTCTGGACATACCTAAAAATTTCCCTCTGTATGCTCAGAAAAATTGAATGAAAAAGGATTCATAGGTTACTCTGAACCTTCTTTATTTAGTAGATGGCAGCTCAACACAAACCAGTCCATATATTTTAGCCATGTTTAGTTTTTTAAGACCCTCATTTTTCAAAGAAATGTTCCAGATTTTTTTTAGGGTATAAAAAGAATTGTTTGAAAAGAAATTTCTATGTTATTTTTTTGGCTATATGCTAATATCCTTATTCTATATTAGCTTTAAATTTTTACCTTGAAATCTTGCCTAAAATCAAATGGTGAACCCTAGGTGCGCTCAGACCAAACTCACCGATAATATAGAGTCAGTATTCTTTGTTTCTCCGCATCTCATCCGTCAGTTCATTGACAACAATGCTTGTTTCAGCACTCTTTTCGAAGGTCTATTTAATCAGTGTAGCATTTTCCCACAGAATTAAAAAGATAAGTGCTATCTTCACAAAATTTTACTTGTGTATTCCTCTAGGCCTAATTAGACTGCATACCTTTTTTTTTTTAAATGAAAACTCCGACTTTAAAAGGTAGCATGCCGGAAAGGGTTAAAGTTGTTTTTCATATTGTTTGTGTTTAGTAAGGTACTAAGTCAAGGAAGATTTTATCTTTCACCACTGTTGTTAGATATGAATGCATAAATTATTTATACCTTTCTGACAGTCACATAGAAAAATGATTAGCTTTTATTTAAGGTTTACTCCTGTTACTTTTCTATTGAAAGAAAAATTTACTTATATACTGATTCGGAATAAATTATTAAAATTATAGTATTTGCAAGCTTTAAACTTTTTTAAAACCTTATTTTATTTAAAAAAAAGTTTTCAGTTTAAAATTTTTTAATATCTGCTACTTCGTGAATTATGTTTCTAAAGATGTTCTTTTATTCTTCACATTAAATTTTATCTGTTCAAGACATGCTTTTTTATCATTGAATAAAAATAATTTCCTGATTGGGATTTTGAGTTAGAAGTTTTAAATGATCAATATTTTGTGTGCTTCACAGGATGTTTCTTAGTGCTTTTACTGTTGTAATTGAAGTTATTGTATAAGTTTAAGCTGTGTTTTATAGTTTATAGATAAAGTCAGTATTACTAACTTTTACAAATTATGACTTCAAACTGTAAAATACTAAAACATTGTGTTTATATTGGTATTCTCTATAAAATCTAATTGAGGCTATACCTGTAATCTAAAAGCTTTGTACTTCTTTCATTCTTTCAGAAAAGAGTTTTCCATAAAAAAATAATACATTGTGTGTGTGTGTGTGTAAGATAAAAATATATAAATCAAAATTATAACTTAACTTAGCTGTAGACCCTTAATTCTTCATTTCAGTTTGGATATCCCTCTCCCCTCTCATCTAAAAATAGTAATTACTTATAATAACTTTTTCTGGATTGCATCATTTCTATGTTAACCCATATGTAATATAAAATGTAACTAAAACTCAAACAGTCAGTAATAACTTTAGGTCATTATTAATTATTCAGTCAAATGGTTTTGAAACTCAAACTAACACACTTTTAAGTGAGATTTCATCCTGAATACATTAACTCTTCACTTATGCACCTCGGCCAAGCTAGACAACTACTCTCTTCTTACTTCAACAAAACAAAAATGTAAACTTATGCATGGTTAGTGTACCAAGTTATTTGTGGTCACAATATGATTACCTGTGGAAGGTAAGCCAAGAGTTATGACTTCTGTAGATGACCATATTTGCGACTTAAAGCACATTGTAACAGGATTGCAGCCTCATGTCAGCTTGGATCTGTGCTTATTACTACTATAGAAGTACAGTTGTCATTCATAACAGCGGCTGAGTGGTAAAGTCGCTGAATACTGGTGGTTCGGTCCGAGGTTCAAATCCCGTGAACGGGCTGGCTGCATGGTCGTTTTCGTGGTTTTCCCCCATGTGTAACGTGTATACGAGCCAATTCAGTGACTTTCCCTTAGAAAGTCCTCCACGAAGGCATCCCTCTCCTTAGGCAGATAGCCTCGAGGCTTTGCCATAGTCACACACACACAGATAACAGTATGCAAATGGAACCAGCATTGTGCGTTTTGCTTACATACTTCTTCCAGAAGGAACATTTGAACTGGGCACATAATCTAAGATTGGACTGAAAATTGGTGGAGTTTTGTTTTGTTCACTGTTGAGTCCCACTTTGTTTTACAAAGTGATTATTGATATATATACAGTGGCTCCCAAATGTGTTTCTACACTTATGATTTTCATTAAAATAGCGCTCTATCCATTAATTAAAAGTAAACTTTCTGAATGAGATTTTAATAATAAAATCTATAATCTATTTGTGACAAAATTATATGAAATATTTTTAAAATATAGCGAAACTTTATTTTTAAGAAATTAATGATAAAAAAATGACAAACATTTTATCTCACAAAAGTCTTTGTACACTGAAATATTTTTGGATAACATCAAAATTAAAACTATCATTTGCCATTTTTTTAAATTTTTGCATTATGGTGGCATTTAAAAAATCGTTTGCTTTAATTTTTTATTGTTTACTTCATAATATTCTATTTCTTATTGAAAAATGGGTTGCAGTCGTAAAGAAATTACAAACAGCATTCGAAAATTGATAATTTTTCACCATAGTAGTGGTAAATCAATTCGAAATATCATTAAATTAGTTAATTTATTCCATTCTACAGTGCAATATGTGATAAAACACTTTAAAGAAGAAAATCGGATTGAAAACAATGTAAGAAAAAGTCGACCGAGAAAGTTAACTAAACGTGATGAGAGATTTATTGTTAGAAAATTTGTGGAAAACCCACGTTTGTGTGCTGTAAAAGTTTCTGCAGAATTTAACGCAAAGTTTTCTACTTCACCTGAAACTGTTCGATAGTTCTCAGAGAAGCTGGATTACATGGGTGTTCTACCCGTAAAAAATTTTTCGTTAGTGAGAAAAACAGAAAGCTTAGGCTTTCATTCATAAAATCAATGATAAATACACCCGAAACGTACTGGAATAATGTCCTATTTGCTGACGAAAGCAAATTTAACATTTTTGGTTTTGATGGTCGAATAACCATATGGAGAAGAAAAAGTGAGGAACTTCATTCTAAGGACTTAGTTGGAACAGTTAAGCATGGCGGTGGAGATGTTCTTGTGTGGGGATGCATGGCAGCATCAGGGCTAGGTAATTTGGTATTTATTTATGGCATAATGAATCATTCTCTCTTTATTTAAATAATTTAAGAGACAATTTAAAATTATCAGCCCAAAATTTAGGTATTGGAAACAACTTTATTTTTAATCATGATAATGATCCTAAACATACGGCTTTCAACATTCACCTGTGGTGTCTCTATAATTGTCCACAGGTTTTGAAAACACCACCTCAGTTGCCAGATTTAAACCCCATAGAACACATTTGGAAAGAACTGAGGTTAGAGTACGGAAACACGACATAGAAACGAAAAGCAAACTCAAAACAGTCATGATGGAAGAATGGATGTACATTGGTACAGAAATTACAAAGAAACTAGTAAAATCTATTCCCAGACGTTTAAAAGCTGTTGTGGATGCTAAAGGATATCCTACTAAATATTAATTTAACGAAAAATGAAAGTATTTACTATTATGTCAAGATTTTTTTGAAGTGTATAAATAGTTATGTCATTAGAAAAAAGCTCCCTTCAGAGTAGTTTTCCTTTTAAAAATGATCATCAGCTTTAGCTTGTCACCATTTGTGGCACAAGCTAACACACATTTAAATGATGATCTTTCATGTCCCACTATAAGCATTGATACAGTTTTTACACCAGTTTTATCAACAGTTCACAGGAAAAATCACAAGCTAATGGCGTTTCATCTATATTTATTATCTGTGATGGAAGAATATTTTTTGTCAATAATATCTGCCACATATTTTAGAAGAGATTCTTTTTTATCCTGCCAGTCCATTGGTAATTGTTACCCGACTGTTGTTCTAGTACACATAGAAATATTTTTTTCTTTTCATAAATCTGCTACACCAGTAAGGCCCTCCTTTAAATTCATTTATGTTCATTTGATTTGTCATAAGTTTTGCTTGTAAGCGAATTTTTACTATTGAAATTGCTATTCTTTTTCCTCATTGCTCCTTTATCCAATTTGCATGGTCATCCTATAGATTTGGTCACCTTACAGTACCATTTCTTTTGGCTCATTTCTCTCATGGCATATTTTTAAGTTATTCTTTTCACTTCTGCAGTATTTAATACATCTCTTGTCCACATCAATCCCTCTAGCTGATTCTCTATTTCCAATTTGTTCAGTGTCATTTAGGGGCAATTTTAAAAAATTTCTCACTTTCTTCTTACGTAACTATCCAACAAGTATTTGTATCAAAACTGATGGGATCTGTATCTGGCAGAATGCCAGAAAGAATTGATTTGTGCTGAAGGTGTAATGCGTCGAAGTTCATTATTGCAACCAGTTAGTTAGTTG